GAAAATGTGTTGTACTTTGTTTGGAATTATATCATCTTAATTTTAAGATTTATGATATTTTTAATTTATATTGTAACTATGCATGGGGTTCATATGTGGAGATTGGGATTATGTTATGTGGAGGATAATTGTTCTTGAAGTCCGCACAGCATGCCTATACTACTGATCATATCGTTTGGCCTTTTTATCAAACCCCTGTAGTTCTTCCTTTTCATTTACTTGAAATTAAGAATGAACTCTTGGGTAGACACCTCTTGCACTATAGTCCATTCTTGGGCGGTGTAGGTGTAGGAAGGGACTCATTGCTTGATATGAGTGGGGTGACTTTTGGCTAGGTTACTCAGCACAGAAAGCTCAGGTCCTTGTCAAAGAGTCATGAGGAGGAGTATGGTTATAGGAGGGCATATTTCATTGTGTTGTTACATATGTGTACTTTTGTATAGACATACTTCTTTTTTATGATCATATCTATTAAAGCATTATTTATTACTTAAATTATACTTAAGATACTTCACTAACTTACCATCCCACTTGTATATGTCATAAATTAATATTTGGTTACTAAGACTTTATGTCTCATCCCGTTATTTATCAATGCTTTTCAGGAGAGTCATCTAATTTAGCTCGACCTAAAGGGAAGCAACTAGAGGCATAGGCCAGCATAGCCCAGTAGTCCTCTTTTGGTTTGGACATATAATGTTATGTATATTACTATCTTAAAGCCCATGATTTTGTTGATATATACTTTTTTTTGTTTGGTTGTTGAATGACTGCATTTGATGGGGTGCTTACTAGTAAAAAAAGATTCATTTTTGTTTGTTCTACAGGCCTTTTTTCGTCTGTTTAGAAGTTAGATATTCGTCTGTTTCTAATAGACGAATATGTAAGGCACATATTCATCTATTTAAGAAAACAAATGAATATGCAAAGCACATATTCGTCTCTTTTGGCCAAAACAGACGAATATGGTGACCTTTTTTTTTTTAAAAAAAAGGTGAAATTATTTGCATTAGGGCTGAGTAATGGGCGGGCTAGGCTAGCCTTATGAATAAATAGGAATGGTCTAGCCCATAACCCGATCACAACTCATTGAAGCTCGTATGAAATGGGCTATAGGACAGCTCGTCTAGGCTAACCGGGTTATGGGATAGCCGGTTTAGGCTAACCGAGTTACAGGGTAACCCATTTAGCTTTTTTTTTTTGTAGTTTTTTCAACGCTGGCAATAAATTTTGAAAGTTTGATAAATATATAATATCAACCATATTCAATCACACAATCTTACATAGAGTCACAAACAATCACACTTCACGAGCTAACAAGCAGAGTGAACAGTGACTCAGCGACCTTTGCTTCAATCGTCGATGAGAACCTATTGAGAAGGGTGAAAAATGGAAAGGCAAAGACGCAGTCTCAAAGACAGCAAGACGGAGCTCCAAGCTTGAAGTTGAAGATGCACTGATGCAACAACTCGACATCACAAGCTCGCAGATGATCACTAATTCATTGGACTACTGAAACTTGAAGTTGTCGATTGCAGAGTCACAGCCTTACTCTCTCGCAAACGAATCGATTGCATATTCACAGTTCACAGATCATTGGAGCTCAAAGTTGAACAGGGGCAAGTCGCAGTCATAGACCAGAGTGAACAGCATTGGCATCATTCTCGTTCAATTGAAAAAGAGTGAAACTAGAAAGAAATGGTCAAAGGGATAATGATGGGCAAAAATTAGGTCTAGCTATCTAGGAGAAAAATTGAAAATCATTAAATGAAGAATTAAAATATTTTTTTTAAAAATAAAATATTTAAATGGGCGGGTATGGGCAGCCTAATGTCTTGCCCATAGCCCGTCCCGTTTATTGGGCTACCCCGCCATTTGAACCCGCCCGTTTATAGTCTTCTATTTGGGGTAATTAGACGGGCTTAAACAGGTAAAAATTTATTGGGTAATGGGCGGGCTAGCAGGTTATAGGGCTGCACATGGGCAGGGCTGGGCAGGGCGGGACCCTTGCCCGATGCCCAGCCCGAAGAATGAACGGGCTGGAAAATACAGCCCGTTGCCCAGCCCTGCCCATGAAAAGCCCTAATAAATTTGGGCTGGGCAAATACGGGCTGGACAGGGCGGGCTTCTATGCCCAACAAGTCAATATACTATATTAATTAACTAATTATTTATATCCTTCTAAATAATCTAATGTAACTTTATTAAAATGGAAACTTGGCCTTAATTTTATTATTACTAATTAATATACTATGAAACTACTTTTTGTAGTAGCTAAGAGGAGTGGACTATGACAAAAAACGTTGTTAGTATATTTTATTAAACTTAATTATTTTTCTAGTTTCCAACTCTCAAAATCATTCAAAAATAAATAAATATAATGAATACTGAATATTGATATAACAATGCGTTTGATTTAGGAAATAAATACGAGGCAAATAAAATATATATAATTAAAATTATATATATTTTTGCGGGCAGGGCCAAATGGGCAGGGCAGCATACCGTGCCCGATGCCCAGCCCTGCCCAACAGTTTGCCCAGCCCGAACATGCCCAATAATTCTTTCGGGCCATTTTTTTTAGGATGGGCTGGGCATTTTTTTGCGGGCTTGGGCGGGCATAGCGGGCTATTGGGCTTCATGAACGCCCCTAGCAGGTTATGGGCTTCCTACTCACCCCAATTTGCTTTGTTATTTTTATTATAACCTGTAATTCTAAAGTGTATGAAGCAAAACCAAAACAGATTAACAATGACAACAATACAGCAAAACCAAATCATGTTACACTTTTCATACAAATCACAGTTTTAAGGGTCAAAGCAAATGACAATAACAAAATCTAAATTAGCTTAGTTAAGAAAAAAAATTAAACATCTTCATTCAGTCATAAACACAAGAAAGTTTAAAACTAGAAAATCTAATGACATTCTAACTTATTTAAATAGATATTTTAACTTTTAGAATCCTATACCTTTCTAAAGTTTAACATGGAGATTAAACATTGAGAACACTTAGCTAACTATTATATTCTAATAGATTTTCTCTCATAAACATTTTCACAAACACCTTATGTGTATTAATATTTAAACAACAAAAAAATATGCTTTTAATCTTAATATACTTTTCCAATCACTATCATTGCTTTCCAAAAACTATTATTCACCAACAACCAGTTTAAAAAGAAAACTTTCAACACCAAAATATCCAAACAATCACTTTCAACACCTATGTAGTAGTCCCATACAACTGAAATATTCAACACCAAACCACAAAACTTACCTTACCTCTTGCAAAGCTAAAGCCGTGGAACAAAGAAGGAGAGAGTGTTGTCAAGCACACAAGAGAAGAGAGGAGGAGCTATCCTCTATCAAGAAGAGAGGGTAGCCATGGACTTCACTGTGTCGTCAAGTTGTTGCGTCACCAAGAGAAGAGAGGAGCTATCGTCGGCCAAGAAGGAGAAGATAGAGGAATGCTGGTTGTCACATGAGAAGAGAGGAAGAGGGAGAGGAGAAAGCTTGTGGCGAAAGAGAAGAGAAGAACAAGAGAAATTGCTGCTTGGGTTTGTTCTGATCTGATGAAAAAAAAGTGCTACGTTCTAAAAATTCAAATTTTAAATTAAAAAGCTTTCGTCTATTACTTAATAGATGAGTATATATCTCCATATTTGTCTATTACACTCTAACAGATAAGTATGTGTGTACATACTCGTCTGTTAGAGCATAACAGACAAGTAGGTACACACATAGCTAATAGATGAGTATGTGCACACAGAGTCTAGTCTACAGACTTTGTGTGTACATACTCATCTATACTTTTTTTCTTCTGTTTAAAAGAGAGACAAAAATAACCTCTTTTGTAGTAGTGGCTATTAGAATGGCTAGAACCTATAAGACTCTACTTTATGTGTTACTCTTATATGTATAACTTGTGGACTGGGTTGAGCACTATGTGCTTTTTGTGTCCCAAGTCTTTGTGGGATGAATGTTTATGTTGAGCTTATAGGTAGTTACTGTGTCCTGAGTGCTTGTTGTACGTGTTGTTAAACTCATGAGTATTGTTAAACTCATTGGTGTTTCATGTATCCTAAGCCTCTTAAGATGTTTTCAGAGTAAGACAAACTTTTTATAACCATGGTAGTATTTTAACACTTCAACTCAATTCTTTTTCTACCATAATTATCATCTTAAAAATGGTTTTATAATTATATATTAAGAAGAAGTCTTTTCACGTGACTTTAGCAATTCTCGAGTCTAATGGGGTCCTATTTTTATGGCTCTATTCACGCACACAAACCTTTGCCTTTTTAGTCTCCTATTCTCATTTCATTTCATTTTCATTTTCAAAATTATTTCAATTCTAGTTCATAACTGAGTAACTAACAACTCAGCATACACTTGCACGCCCTCTTCATAGGACTTGGTTCATACACTTGCATTACCTTGGGCAATCCACAATGGCATCTTGCCTCATGGGTCGCATCTCACCTGCAAAAGAATCTCTTTGCATTGGGAATTCAGGAATGAAGGCCTCACTGTTATCGCTTCGTTATTTGCATCAAACAAGTTTAGACCACATATACATTTTTCTTAGGAAAAAAAAAACAATTTGAATCAAATTCTTTAACCCAAAAGGCGTTTGAACTGACCCTAAAGAAAGTCTGGGTCCTAAGGGCCACATTGTCTGACACAGAAAAGGAAAGGAATTCAGAAATCCTCTTCTGAGTTAATTTCTATTCCGAGAATATTCATACCTTTCTCTTCATTAAATATAAACACACAAAACACAATCGATTAACAAAGTTTCCAAAATCACACTTTAATTTATTGCCATCTCTTCATTTTACAAAACCAATCTATATCATGTGTGGTCTCAAGAATGAATCAGACACTACACTTGCCTGTTCTTCTTCAACCATCCATCATAACCCCAGCAAAAAAGAATTGAAAGAATCCCAGAAACGAAATTACGTACAAGATTAATAATAAGAATATTATGTTCAACTAAGAGCAGCAATAGGGACAAATAATCAAACCATTCTCATTACAATCCGAACATTGATTGCTCTGTTTCTCTTCATCATCTTCTACCTTTATGATCCTTTGGCTCCCATTACAGCTGAAACATATCATGAATCGAACCCCATCACATCCTTCACATGAAGTGTTAGAATTTCTCAGTGGGATTTCTGCCAATAATGGTTTAAACCTTCCTTGTTCATGCAAATTTAGAACTTCCTCTGCTCCTCCTATGTATCTTCCTTTCACGAACAGCCTTGGAGGCAGAGGCTTTCCGTCTAGAATATTCCATAGCTCTTCCTTGAACTTCATGTGCATTGATGTGTCTCTTTCAATGTAAACAACCTTAAAGCTGTCCAATAGAAAGCGGATCTTGTTGCAGTCCTCGAATGTCTTTCTGATTCCCCGTAATGTTGTTGTGTAGAGAATTACGGAGTCATTCCCCCCAGGTGGACACTTCTCTTCAAATACCTCCAGAAGCTTCCATGGTAGCTCTTCTTCTTCTTCTTCTCTTTCTTCTTTTTCTTCTACTTGCTCTTCAAAAAATTCAATTTTCTCTGCTGATTTTCTCAGTTCGACGTGTTCCTTCACTGCTTGCTCAAATGCTGCCAGCAAAAGCGGGTCAAATAGACTTTCAGAGTTCATGTCGGGTCGCCGGAAAGACGAGATGTCAATCTCTGATAACGGAGCGGGTTTCGATGATCTTGACGTATCTTGTTCTTTTGATCTCAGACATTGAGGCCCAATGTTCTCCTTGTCGTCACCGTACCCTTCTTCAAGATCTCTCAGTTGTTGAGACTCATCAATCACCTCAGATTCTTGCACCTCAGCCTTTCTGGGCTCATTTTCTCGGGAAACAACCAGGTCCTTAAGATTGAAACTCGAACTGTTCGTAAAAGATTCAACATACCCGTTAAGTGCCTTGATCTGAAGAACTCGATCCTGCTTCAGATAATCAGCTGGTCGGATTGTTTTGAGCTTCTTGAGGATTTTCCCCTTCATCCCCACGAGGATTCTGGGTTTGAAATTATTCAACGAAGAAAGTTTCAGGTAGGTTTGGATATACGTAGCGGCGTGGAAAACAGAAAATCAGAGAGCTTAGACTTTCACCTTCGCTTCTTCTTCCAGGTCGCCTGAGAGGGACAGAGCTCCAACGGCTAGTTTAGATTTTTGGCTAATTTTAAATTTCGAAGGCGTTGGGGTGAAAAAAGAAATAATTATAAAACGTCCTACAACGCGACAAATGATATGTCAATGGATGCTTCTGGCCGTTGAAGGCGTTCCTCGTGCTTTAATAAGAGAAGTCCGATATGGTTTGGACACGTGTCAAATCACGGGCGGACTTTTATGATTACAGACAGAAGAAGGGTTAAAGAAAAAAGTGATCTTATCAAAATAAAACTTTTTTTATATATTTATCTTAAATTTTGTAGTCAGTTATATTTAAAATGATGTGAATTTAACAGAAAAAAACATAAATTATAATTTTTGAGAATAAATTGTTTTTTTATATTCTAAAGTAATTTGACGCTAAATTCTTAAAAACTTTTTGTTTATAAAAAATAAATTTATTTTAAAATTATAAATAATTTGAGTCATTAAACATAATTGTTTTTATTGTCATTCAAAGCGCAAATTAAATATATTAACCCTTTGAAAAATTTTCTGGTAAAAAAATCCTTTAAAAATTTAAAATGACAAATTAATTTTATTTACAATTACCGAAATTTATGAAATGGCCAAAGCTACCATATCAAATTTAAAATAAATTAGAGTAGTTTTTAACTTTTTATTCAAGTCGCTACGTTCCTCAAAAGTACTCTTTTTTTTTTGGTGATTTGTGCATCACATGGGCATGGGCTAGTAAGTAGTAACGGTCTTTCTTTTTTTCTTAACAAAAATTAGAAAATCCTTCTCTTTTTTTAATCCTTGTAATGTGATGTAAACTCCACGATTAAGTTAAAAAATATGCTGGCAAAAAATAAATAAATAAATAATTAAAAATTAAAAAAAAAAACTAAAAAGTGCTCTGAACGACTGAACCGAAGAAAAATGAATGCGCGCGAGGCTTTGTTAATGGCTATGTGGCATTATCTCTGAGCTCGCTCTCTTTCTCTCTCTCCTCGCTGACTGACTCAATGAGTTATCGCGTTAATGGCCTTACAAGCATACCCCTTAGCGCTTTTCGCAAACCTCACTTTCGCCGCTACTTCAGGTTAATTCCCTCACTTGACTTTATTCCTTCTCAAACCTGACTTTCTGAGAGTGAAATTCATAAAAATATCACAACAAACCTTACTTTTCCTCCTCTAGAAACCCCGTTCTTCTTTTCCCCTTTTCGTTCCTTTTGGGATTACTTAAGCCCCATTTTCCTAAATCTTCTAGTTTTCGCTCTTCTAATAGCCCTGTGATTACGCCTATCTTTCTTTTCTTTCAAGGGCTTCGTTTTGTTGTGTTTGTTGTTGGAAGCATTTGGAAATGGACGAAAGTGTCGCCAACAAAAATCCAGAATTGATTGTGGGTGACTCAGATTCGCTAGCCAATAAGATTTCCGCAATTCGTTCGGCTGGTCCTCAAAAAATGCAGGTTTCATATGCATTTTTTGGTTATCAACGTTTCTCATTAGACCTGCGTGTCACTTTTTTATAGTGTATTTCATGATTTGTATTGTTTCAGTGAATTCAATCAATGTAGTGTTTGAGAAAAGTGGTCGCATTTAGTGCTGGATTTTAGTTCCTATTTTTTCTTGTCACGCATAATCAAGTTTTCAATTCATCATTATATTCACAATTTTCTGATGCCAGGTGATTGCTGATTTTGATGCCACATTAACAAAGTTCTGGGCTAATGGAACTCGAGGGCAGAGTATGTTCTCTATGGAGCTTCTGTAATTTCTTTCCGTTTTTGTCTTGCTTTTATGAAATTTCCGTTCTAAGGGAGGGAAAAAGAATCTCAGGTGGATTTTAGTTCTATTATCTCTAAAAAGTGTGTAGGCAGTCATGGCCTTGTGCAACAGGGTAATCCAGAATACGATGCCAAAAGACAGGAGTTATATGATTATTACCACCCGTTAGAATTTTCACCAGATATTGGACTTGAAGAGAAAACGAAGCTCATGGAAGAATGGTATGTGACACAGTTCCCCATTGGAGAAAGTAAGCACTGATTTAGCCATATCATTCAATACCGACACCAATGCTTCCTGCTTAAATTGCATAATCACTGATCACTTCCAATATGATATTAACACTGAATTCTCAATTTTATATCGTGGTAGCTAAACTAACTTTATCTTTCTATATTAAGTCTCTGAATTTTTTTAATTTTTTTTTTTTTTTTTTTTTTGCAATTGCCTACTTTGGTTCCAAACACTCAAAGTGCTAATTGTTCATTTAGGTGGAGTAAAACTCATGCTCTTTTAATTGAGGGAGGACTCACAAATGAGTCAATCAAACAGTCTGTTGCTAATGGCAACATTGCTTTCAGGGAGGGTGTTTTCGAACTATTTGAGTTTTTGGAGGTATATTTCCTGTCTTTTGGAAAATGTGCTGCATGCCATTCTTTCATATGGTGAATGTGTTCTGTATAAAGCGAACCAATTGAATATAATTTCTCAATATTGTCCACAAGCTGACGTTGATTCCCATTTTCCATTTGTACTTTGCAGGAAAAAGGCATTCCTGTGTTGATATTCTCTGCAGGACTTGGCGATATAATAGAAGAGGTTTGCATGTTCAATTTTGTCTGATGCTTTACCCTCTGTTGTTATTTTTGCCTCTTAACTGCAGTGAATTCTTCTTTTGGCTGCAACAGGTTCTAAGGCAAAAACTTCATAGGACTTTCACAAATGTGAGGATAGTATCTAACAGAATGGTGTTTGATGATGATGGCCACCTTGTATCTTTTAAAGGTCGATTACCTACATTGGGTTGGTTCTTTATGTCACTCATGAAATTAACATGCATGTTTTAAACTCTTCGTCTCAGAAGATTTCTTTTCTCTTTTTCTTATTTCCAACAAGGGTGAGGATAATTTTTGGAAAAACAATGTGGAGGTCTTCAGTAGTTGTTCTGTCGCTGCCTAAATGAGGAAAATCTTTATGAAGATGTCAACTAGGATTTGGCAGATAGTGTTTTAAATTTTACATGTCTTGTTGTGTACTGCTATGTTAACTGATTGCGTTCATGGAAGGAAGACAGCCAATGAGGGCTCTATATTATGTCAATATCTAATGTGTGAAATAACATTGCCAATGTCAAGACACAGGAATTCTTCAGTAACATCCTAGGTGAGCTTATGAATTGTGAGGGAATGCCCAAATCATGTAGCTGCTGAGGCAACGTAAAACCTGACCAAATCCTTTATGATATGAACTCTCAAGTCTCAGTTAAAGTTAAGTTAATCATAATGATCCTTCTGGAAAATGACGGGCTGGTAAAATTAGAAAATATGAACCTAGGACACATAGTTGAGAATAATCTATCAGTAATTTCTTGTTAGAGCAGCAAATGGTTCGGGAATCTACATCACTGAATCACTGCATTATGGCAACGCGAATACCTCTGATATTGCTAATAACTGGCTTCAACAATAGTAGTATGTAAAGTAACACAAATATTCGTCTAGTTGAGACTTCAATAATGAGTACTTCTAGTATTAACTTGCATATTTCTCTAGCTACAGCCCTATGATTATTGTCTCTCTGGGTTTAATCAAAGAATCTTCTGCCCTGCAGTTTCTACCCTGGAATTTCTCGTACTGTAAAAATGTTGACACAAAGTCACATACAAGGAATTTAGATTTAGTAACATGAAAAAGTTACAGTATTATGCAATCCTTGTAAGTTACAGTAGCATGCTCCGCCATGCTAGAGAACACAATAATTAAATATATTATATAATACTGTAAATTGATATTGACTTTCCCATATAGCTTTCATTGCATAATTACTGCATTCTGAGGTAGCTCAATTGCAACATTTACTTGGCTGAATCTTTCTCATTGGCTTTATCATCAACCATTATCTTTTCTATATTTTCCTAATTTTAACATACCAACTTCGTTTACAGGAAAATTGATTCACAGCCTAAACAAAAATGAGCATGCCCTTGATATGGGTGCCCCTGTTCATAATCATTTGGGTGATGAGGGTGATCCTAATGAAGACAATGCCGCAATCAAGTACAGAACCAATGTTCTTCTACTTGGTGACCACATTGGAGACTTGAGAATGTCTGATGGTTTGAATTACGAGACTCGAATATCTGTGGGGTTCTTGTAAGTTAACAGTTTTATTTTCTTTCTTGTCAAATAACAGCTCACACACAAAGAAACATGTAAATTTAGCTTCAATTATGAAAGGAACATATGAACATCATTGAGGGTCACCTATTTTCATTCTGATTTTTAGTTTTCTAATGGTTGGTTCCTGCCCTTGATAAAGCCCAGGGGCTACGGTAGATTGATGGGATTTTATCCAGTCTGATGAATATGCATATCATCAAGATTTTCTTGCTTGATCTGCTTTCTCTCTGTGCCTTGTGCCTTATTGAAAGATGATAATTTGTCTTACACTCCTTAATATGTAATATTCCTTTGGCTTTTTCTTAAAGAAAAAATATTTCACAAACTTAGATATATCTGAAAAACAATATAGTTGTCTGTATTGTCGATGCTAATATAAAGATCACCCACAGCTTTTACTATTTTTGTTGTTTATCTACTCTTTATGCTATAATGGTGCAATGAATCATTGATACTATATTATACTTAAGTTGCAAGATAGTCAATTTCTTTGACATTATATCACATGTCAGAAGAATGGCAATGTAAAACGAAAATATTCTGTCTGTAATTAATCAGGTAATTGATTTCATGGAGTCAGTTGTGTAAATTTATGAAATCATTTTTTCCCAGAACTTGTTCGGGTTTTCATTCTTTAAAAATAATTAATACATGTTTCATGAATGGGCTAGGAACAAAATTGAGAGAAGAAAATAAAT